CCGCCGCCAAGACGGTCCGCAGGCATGCGCCCCGGCCATTGTTATGCGCGGTACGCGGCCTGGCCTCCGCCTCCTGGCCGGCCACGATTCACTTCACCCGTAGCCCCGTCGGATGATAATCACAGTAATAATCAGATCTCGATCGTCATAAATAAAATAAGACATACCTGTACGTGTCACGGGAGCTACCGTTGCCGTTCGGTGTCTATCAGTCGGTGTTATTTTCAAGAATTTTTTCATGAAGAATTGTGTTATTAAAAAACAACTCCAGGTTAACCGATGAATATTAGCAGCTGATCATTTTGTGTTTAGCATTGGGCTACTAACCTTGAGAACCGTCGTAATTTTTTATCGAAATCCTACCAATGTGTCATGGCTTTAATTTTGGTACTATCGATTATCGTTAAGTTCAAGGAAAAAATAAATACCGTGAAAAACTTCAATAATTATTTTTGTAAGTTTTAGCCAAGTTCGCCAAAGGTAAAACTGCCAATGGCGTCTTATGGGACAATAAAGTGGTTTCTATTGATTTCCCGAAAAAAATTTCGGGTACTCGGATAACTTGGATTTGCCACGCCTAAATCGTCTAAAATAACCGTACACTCGTTTGTGGAAGACTGCAAAAAGCTGCGATTGGCTGAGACATTGGCGCAGAAATATGAAATATTACATTTGTTTTTGCATTCTTTTGAAATGTTATCAGTGCAGATATTTTCAATTCCACAATTGTATCTGGTTCCGGAATGAGATACGTGGGACGTCTAGTAAACAATTTGCATCATTGTGTAAATTTACTGTTGTCGGGGTCGAAAATTTGTTTGATTCATAAAAATGTAACATAATGATGTTGTACAACATGTGATTTGCATACGCACACTATGAGAGATTACAATGCGCGCAATAATTACAATAATGCCTAGACCCGTTCCCTTGACGATAGCGTAGAAAAAAAAATTTGTTGAACGATAAGATAACAATATGTCGGCGGTTGACTAAAAAAACAAAAAAGGCGAGAGCGTGCGATTTAAAAAGTGAATAATTTTTTTTTCTCGCAAAACTGTTTGAATGCACCGCATTCCTAGCGAATTTCATATGTATTCGGTAAAATGAGCATATCTTACGCGAGCAAACTATTTTAAGAAACTCCCTTAATCATAAAAAATAAGGTAGTTAGTCTGCATTGAAATACGTATACAGTACCCAGACAAACGTCTGAGCTTTATTTGTTCAAAATATTAATTACTATTGATGATTATAAAAAGAGGCAGTAATAAAACTATATTGTAATAAAACTTTTCTAATTAAAATAATCATTTTTAAATATTCATTATTTTAAGTAAAATTTAATTTGACAAATTAATAGAATCATATTTTAGTTACGTTACAATTATTTTAAGTGAAATATTTTTTTCCGATTAGACGTATTAATTAACAAAATAGTCTCATCAAGCGGATTATGAGTAATAATAATTTTTGACTAAACAGAAGTAATAACTTTCACGCAAATAACTAACTTATAAAACTGTTTATAAATACTAGGTAGAACCAACGCCTTTATATAATTAATTGGTTGAAAAAAAAATTAAAAAATTACAGTTGTCAGGGGGAATTCAACGAGTCCGAGGACATATTAAAAGTTGCCCAGGTCTCTCGGCAATTGGCAAAGTCGCCTGCATTTATTATTTTTGTTCCTTCAGCGTGTATTTTTTCCTTTCCCCGCCCCTGTTTATTATTAAAATAATTATTTACGAAATATGATTAAATGAGTCGCTTTCACGATTTTTTTTATTATAAATGGAGGTCTTTTTACTATTTCTTAGTACATCTGCCATACAGAATCGGTCGAACTGTACCACATTTGACGGACTTATGCTAAAATTTTACACTAGAGATACCATTGGTTTATTCATAAATATCGTAAAGTATCTTATAAAAAGTTATAGAAAAGAATATTGTTCTTGAAATTACAAATAATTAATAAATAAACAATATTAATATACGTAAAAAAAATACACTGACAAGCTAATTAAATATATCAAACAATCTGTAGATTATAAATACATATAAAAGATTTTAATATGAAATATTCTACACCTAAATGTCAAAGTTAACTCGACGATAAAATAAATTAAGGGCCACATTTTGTCAACTATAACAATGAGATTCATTTTAAAAATTAATAGTACTTAATTTATATACATCTGTAGACTAAGTGACTTGTATTACTACTTGTGAACATATTGATATGAGAATTTAATAGAAAAAGAACAAGTACCAATCACTCGGAATACAGAATAGTATCAATTAACAAGACAATTGTCTAATTATCTTATAGAAACATTTCAAATAAGTTCATGTTTATAATTAACTAATGATTTTCAACTCCTCTAAAACTACCTTATAAGAGTCAAAGTTTTAGGTTTTTATTTTGTATAGAGTACACTTGCTGCTTTTTTCCAAAATCTGATGGAATCGATATTACCGTAAAATTCATAAACAAGTAATTTATCTGACATTGTAGAGGTACACAACATTATATGCNTGTAGAGGTACACAACATTATATACCGACTATGAAATACTTATTTACATTATGTAATTAATGTAATTGTGATGGAATGGAATTTTGACCGTATCCGGACCCAAACCAAACGGGTATCGATCGGATAAAAGATGAGGTCAAACGAAGAAAGGGTTTTTGGGATCTAAGACAAGGCTTTGAAGGAATAACGATCGCTTTGTCGTTGGTGCCCCTTGGGACGGGGCGTTATTGATAGCCTAACCGTCTCTCTGCAAGATTATTCCGTTGTACTCGTCACTGCTCGCCACGTTCACGTCCTCTTCACTGGGTTGAGGTGGTGTAAACCTTACAATGTTCCTTTAGTTTCCCCCGGGGCGTGGTACGAACGGGCTTTATTCGTTGGCCGCCCACCGCCTCGTCCGGTGTGCGTTCAAAGTGCGTTCACAAAGTCTACAGAAAAACTACAAAGTATAGATGTAGGTACAAGATAAATACAACGTCTTTATGTACACAATTACGAAGTACCTATGGCTTTTGTAATTTTCTTTTTGTTCAGCGGATGAATGAGCGTTTTTGTGTAAAATAATAAAAGAAAGACCGAGACGAGCGTCTTGTGCTTTATCGATCGTTTACCGAACTGCGCCATCGGATCGAACGAGGGAGGCAGTGGGCGAACTTTTGAAATCGTGTGCCCCCCTCTGCACGCACATATACACGCGTACTCCCGGACGTTAAAGCACACAATGTGTAGGACCCGGGAAAGGGCGGCTTGGTGAAATGACGACGTGGGCGAGTTGCAAGTCTGCTGTACGAGAAAAGTATAGCACAGACCAGCGCAGTACGGCAAAACACGCCTACCCGCTGCCCTACACATGGTGTACAAAGCCCAAAACCTCCGGAAAGCGCTGCTATGGTTTAATTTCTCGTGAAGCACAATAGTAGTACGCGAAAAGCGGGTGACAATGTAAGGACAATAACCGACCGGACGACTCGTTCGATAGTGGCAATTTATCTTTAAAGTTGCCGGCGCCTGTTGATTTTTACGAATTCTTCTTCTAGTAGAGTAATTCTAATCACTTGACAATGCTGAGGGTCCGATATTTATGACATTAACCATTAATAAAAACGAATTTTCAAACAAGTCCGACATAGGCCGAGCACATGACTATTTTTAATCAATCCTAACGAGTAGTTTTTTCATATTTTCTGAATCATATGAAAATCAATATATAAAATAAACTAATACTCTGGTCGATTATTTCATAAGTAGTAATTGTGAAAGTGTAAATATTTTAGCGTGTTTTGACCATTGTTTTGTGCAAAAAAAGAAAACGAAACTAAAATTGGTAAATTAGACCTAGTAAAATTATTAAACTGTTATGTAATTCCATAAAGAAAGTATAGTTGTCAGAGTATAGTAAATACGCATAGTTGGCGGCAGTTTGGTCTTCCTGTTCCGTTTAATATTATTTATAAACTATATGGTTCAAATGAACGACTTTATGGAAAATGGTGTACAAAAATGACAAAAAATAGGGTTGGACACAACAGCGTAACGCATCGTTTGCTTGTAGTTCATTAAGACAATTAGTGTCTCGTTCGTTTTTCGGAAGACTTACTGAAGCTGAAACAATACCACCGACGTGTGTTTATTTTACACTTTGTTTTTTATGCTGTTATTGTCAGCGAATGTTAGTCTCATGTGCCAATTAGCACACGGTGTTCTCAATCTATTCCAACGTATACCATTCCCCACTCATAATATCCTATAGAAATCTTGCTGTCCCACCAAATCATATTATTAGTCGACCAATACTACTGTACACTATAAGTGTATGATAACAATTGTTTTTTTTATTTTATTTAAAGTAGCCGGCGACAAAGAAATCGAATAAAAAAGACGCACGTGGACTGTTTTTTGAGTGGCAGAGTGTACTGTCGTGTTGCGGCTTCAATAAAAAAAAGGGGGTGGGAAGGACACGTGCCCATCCACGTGTATGACCACTACTGGGACGGCCTTAGGTTTGATTGTATTTCACGGCTACTACTCTATATCGTCTCCTAATTCATTTTGTATTGCCTAAGCCGGAGCATAAATTATAATAATGGAGGAAATACACAATAAATGCAAACGAAAGAAACAAAGTACTCCCTCGTGATTTTTTTTACAACAATAACAATTTTAAATAGTAGCCAAAGTGCCTAAAAATTTAATGTTTATATTTTTTTGTTATTCACTTCAATTGAGTCTTTGACTCTTCTACTTTTTCTTATTGTGTACATTTCAGGTAAAAATAA